TATATATATATATATATATATATATATATATATATATATATATATATAACAGGAGAAATATAGGATAAGAAAAAAACAAAGGGACAGAAAGTGAGAAAATGTTACTTTCGAGATAATTGTATTTCATTCAAATCCCTCGATTACATCTTTCAAATAGGATCCTTTAATATTTTCATGGAAATACAGCTCCCTTTGCAGTATAATTACAAGACCCATCAGATCTGAAACAGAAAATAATATTTAGTTCATACGGAGAGAGATAATATTCAATATACCTAAACATATATATATATTCCTTATATTGAAAATTTAAATATTCTTATTTTAAAACCAAAATAAAAAGAATGTTAAGAATATTAATGTTTTTTTCATAGAAAAAAACAGTACGGTTGGCTGACATATAAATCTGAGTAGCACAACCAGATTTGTGTCAACTAACTATACTGTTTTTTTCCGTGCGTGTTTTCTGTGTTAGTATCCAGCCATCTGTATTTTTACCTTATATCGATTATACTCGTGCTATAAAACACAAAAGCAGTTTCAAGCTAGAGAACCGAGCGCGACACACGAGAATGAGTTTTCCCTTGCGATTCTGCAGTGGAAGAAGGTAACAGTACTTAGTTGTGTTTGCCGCTTCGCATAAATCTCTCGGGGTTGCGAGCAAATTGTCCGGTCTGGAGATAGAACGAACGCCACGTGTAGGAGCCCGGCGTGCCGCGTCGTGGAATAGCAAGTAACAGGAAACGTTGTACAGACGCCGGCGTGTAGTATCTGTTGTGTGTAGGCCGAGGTGGTCTCCCGTTTACGTTGCTCGGAGATACGATGCCGCGGGAACGACGCATAGAGTAAAGAGGAGAGAAAGGGAGGAAGAAGACCGCCACTGCTGCCTTCGGCTCTTCTTTCCGTCGTTATCTATGCGAGATGAACTCCGTGGGATGAACGTATATGGCGTTCGGTAATTGTCTCCGTAGGTGCCGCAAGTATTAGTCAAGAGACGTTGACCGTGGTCGAGAACGAAGCCGCACGAAGTTGCCCCGTGTATATTCCAAGTTCACGGCGCACCACGTCGGTCGTGCTTCTTTTTCGTGTTGAGTCACTTCTTACGCGTCGCGATTCGTAACCGCGCACTAAATACAGATAGGACAGATTGTATCACCTATTACGCGCATGCGACATAACCCGACTACTATAATTTCGATCATTTTATCACATCAACGTTGAAGTATCGTCTAATATTATCACTACGTTACCACCGTGAACTGACAGCGACCATTGCGAGGAGGGAAAAAAGCGCGAGAATTTACGCGCGTAAACTGGGTGGCGCTGCGTCGCGCCAGTGATAAAAGATCGAGAGAATACTTTTCAAGTAGGAAGTCTATGCGTAAACATTATCTCAGCCAATCAGGAGTCTCGACGTATGCGTACAGAGATTCTTGTTGCAGATTTTTCTCGATCACTTCATCGCGTCGCCGCGCGATCGCCACTGTCGATTTTTTCGAAGCCAACCGTACCTTAACGTTCAAACGCGATTCGATTCGAGATCGTCGGAAGCAGCGGAAGTACTCTGAGCTTCCAGAGGTAAGTACCGTATTGCCTTGTCAGATAGATTTCCAGTAGGTATGCCTGCTTTACGAGATGTAGGTGAGGAACACGCATACAGTGATATCTCTCCGCTCGTCAAAGCTGAGTAACTTAGTCTAACCTCTCTTACCTCCACCACTGAATTAGAACTATTTTCTGTACCAGATTTGACTGAAACTGCAGCCACACTACGAAGATAGTGATATCTCGTAGGATATTATACACATAAGGAGTGAAATATTCAGCTCGAAGAATTGGATCGGGAGAATCGTCTCCGAGAGGTAAGACTTTTTCTGTCTTTTTCTAATCTTCTCTTTCTTTATGGATGTGATCCATTAGACGCTGTAAATACTTCGAAGCGATTAAAGTAATATTTGGTTCACATGACGCTTTAAAGCATTTGTAGCGCTAGTGAATCGTACCTGTTGTCCGTGTCCCGCGATGCAAATGTGACCAATCATAATGGTTTGTTTGAAAATTTGAATTGATGGGTAGACCAATCATATTGGCTTATTTGAAGCCTCGAAGCACCGCAATGTCCAGAGAGGAACTATTTTCTGCGTTATATCTAATTGAAATTGCGTCATTTTACGAAGACAGCGATGATATCTGACGCAAGGAGCGAAATATTAAGATCAGATTCGGAAAAATCGTCTCCAGAAGGGTAAGATTCTCTCTTTTTCTTTGGCTTTTTCTTTCTGTAGATGTTAGACGCCTTGTGAGAATCTAACATGAAATATTCTATTCTATACTTTCCTTCTAGCTATCAAGTGCGATGTAGCGCGCTGAGTGTTGTGCGATCTTCAAAACTATAATAAACTTACGGCGCGCTCTAAGTTACAATAGCTTGGGTATGAAAACGAGCGTATTACGATGTATATGCATTTTTTCACCTTTCCTGAGTTAGCTCAACGTTCGTGCGACAAACTATGACACACTGCAAATGCGATCGTCATTCTAGGATTACGAGCAGAGTATCTGAAACATACAGGGAGTACTATTTTCATTTGAATTGAAAGTAAAATAGATAATTACGAAATAAACGATCTTATAATTTTGATAATCTGTACTTAACTTAGTTATGTTCGATGTGACCAACTGGAAACAACTTGGCCATTGTCACTAATTAGAAACATTATTTTTTCTGTTTTGTCTCTTTGTCTATCTCTTTCCATCTCTATCTTTCACTCTATTTAAATAATTCAATAATTTGTATTTTTAATAATATGCATTTTTATAACCTTTATAACATAAGATCATAAAAAATGTTTCGTAATTAACTCTAATTACGTAATGAAAGTAAGTGTAGATTTCTGTTCACAAAAGACAATGCCATTGTAACAAATTACTTCATCATGTCAAGGATTTAAAGTTCATTTAAATTTTCATTTAATTATTTATTTAATTGTTCATTTAAGATAAGTATATTTCTACGCACTATATTCTTAATATAAAATCATATTTGCTATTTGTGAGACGATATTTTTATCTTCTGTATAAATTAATAATATTCATCTATTTTTATTAATGTTAAGTGATTTGTTGCACATTTTTCCTTTGAGTCGTTGTTTCTTATCTTAAAATTTAAATTAACTTTAAAATCCTGATGTGATGGAGTAATTTGCCAGCAGCATTGATTTTGTGAGCAAAAATCTATAAGAAACTCTTTCTGTGGGTGTTAGCTCTATTCTCATTAGAGTTAATTGTCATAATTTTTTTTGTGGTTCTGTGTAATCAATAGTTATACGATATGCAGAAATACAATAATGCTGTTGAAATGCATATTAAATCATGAAATATTACAAAGTTTAATGTAAAATATTCTATCTACATCTTTCTTTTACAATATTCTATTCCTCTTTCTTTCAAGAGTGATGGAGAACTTTGAGGTTAATACAAGTCTCAAAACAATAAGATGTAGTCGCGCGGTATGTTATAGCTTATAACACTTTTGGACATAAAAAATATATTGTAAGATATTGTATATTACTTTCATTAGTTTCATTCTTTAGTTATTTGCAACATTCGTGTAATAAGTCACGACACATTATGAACACGATGGTCATCTCGAGATCATCAAAATAAAAGATAATTATCGTGTTTTGTTTCATTTTTATTCTACTTGAAAATAAATACACTACGAAATATATAATCTCGTAGTTAATACAACTATACTGAATAATTTATATCTAACTTTATTATTTGTCAAAAGTAACTTATCTGTTACCACCAACTGAATATCATTTTCTGTTTCAGATTTAACAAATCTTACGATCATACTAATAAAAGAGTTGTATTCCGACAAAAATGTCAAAGAATCTTGTTAGAAGAATGCGACTAAGGAATTAATCGCTTTCTTTCTCGCTCTCAAGTGCGACGTAATGCTCTGAGGGTCGCACGACCTTCAAAATAATGACAGACGTAGTCGTGCGCGGCACGTTATCGGTTATAACACTTCTAACACGGAAGCGAGCACATTGTAAGATATCACGCATCATTTTTATTCTTCCTTATTATTCTTTGATTGCAACATTTATGCGACAAGTCGCGACGCATTGACGTGATCATCATACTAAGATCACTGAAATAAACGGTGATTATCGTGTTTTATTTTTATTCTACTTGAAAGCAAAATATATAATCGCAAAATACATAATCTCGTAATCTGAATATAACCGTACCAAATAATTCGTATTTAACTTCACTATTTGTCAAAACTAAAAGTAACTTGTGTGTTGCCACCAACTAAATATTGTTTTCTATTTCAGATCTGACATCTTATGATCGTACTACGAAGAGAATTGTAATCTATGAAAATATCGAAGGATTCTGTTCGAAGGATACGACCGAGGAATTTGGACAAAACATACCTCAAAAGTAAGATTTTTCGCTTCTTTTCTTTTTGCTTTGTGTCTCTTTTTTTCTGCTTGTTTTTCTCTCTTTCCATTTTTTATTTTAACTTCTCGTAGCTTAATTTGCATTGTTATAATTTTAATAAATGCAATAATTTGCATTGTTGTAATTTTAATAATCAATACTTATATTTAACGGGTGGATCAATGAAAGAAAAAAGATCTTGGTCTTTATTCAGTGTTCGATTTTATATTTTTTAATAACAAAAGATGTACTCAATTTTGCAACGGCGGAAAAACGTTTTAACGTTTCTTTATTGTATTGTTATATGTTTTTTTATCATAAGTGCAAGATTCTGAATATTCAAGAACATTAATATTGTGACGAAAACTCGACATCTCCAAATACAACAATATCATAATTTTATAAACACAAGAATTATTATAAAATCTCTAATGTTTGCAATACACATAAAAACAAGAAATAGGAATCAGATAACGTTAAGTCATGGGGAAAAATAGCAATAATAATAGATTAAGAAATAAAATTCGATTTCTACATAACTAATTAGAAAAATTATTTTCTCTTTCAGATACAGCAGAGTTTGTAGATATATTAACAAAGCAATTGTGACTCTAATGCATGGAGAATGTTGTACCGGAGAATTCAGATATTTTGACAAGTAAGAGGTGAGAAAAATGTGTATCAAAACTGCAAGGTAATGGATGTTTGTAGAAATCGTTGAAGTCAATGCGATTTACTCGTAGATTCATGCATTTTAATTATTGTATGTATGTGTATGCCTTGTCACATATAATATTTCACTCAAAATATTTAAGGGATCATATTTTAATAAAAACAAAATATTTAATAAAATAAAATATCTGTATTACCATTAAATATTCTGCATTTGATGTATTAATTACATTTTTCTCCCTTATAAATATATCTAATCTCTTTATCTTTAAATTGTATATTTGAATTTTTATTTTTAGTATTTTCTTTTATATTTAATTAAAATTAGGTAATATTAACACAACTACTCTCAGTATGATCTTTAATTATTTCGAGTAGTACAATAAGCTACGCCACAATGCATGGAGCTCGCGATCATTTCACTCGTGCTGATTATTATTTAATATGTTTATTGCGTTGATATTTTCGCGATTGTCGCGATAATTTATTCTTTAGATGTTTCATACGCGTATTTATATTATAATTGTTTCATATATGAATATGAATTTCATTGAATGAAATTAATTGGAATATCGCGAAAATAAACTTCGATAAGCAAGTTGTCGCGAAACAGTTTATAGTGCGTTTAGTCTTCTATTCGGGGGTTTTTTGCACGCGCTTTGTGATTTACAAGCGAGCTTTGTGAGTACTGAATTTATATAAATATTCCATGCTAAATATCCGTTAAACGATTTTGCAAATTCCGCTTTTGTGTGTTATTAACTCGGGTTAGTTATGTGTGTCGACAGATCCATCTTAAAAGTAACACCGTTAAAAGATTCACCGTTAAAATATGTGTCGCGTCACGAGATTAAGTAAAGTCGAGACACGATAAAATAAAGTTCAATCAACGTGAGATAACGTGGGATAAAAACTATAGTTTTCTGAATGTGGAATGGGTATAGTTCTGGATACAGAGGCGAATCTTGTCAGTGGACTGGGCTCTGGACTTCCGGGATCGTATTGAGCATCGATGAACTTCGAATGGTGAGTGTTGAATTTCAACACTCAGAGAATTATTATAGCGTAGTGCATGCTTTATCGTGAATCGCATTGACTTCTAACGATTAGAGTTAGATAACACGTTGACTGACATGAGGATTACCGGTGACCAGCCTACTTATGTTTCTGCTGTATCCTATAAATTTATGTATAAGATACGTATTTTAATAGATAATTTACGTATAAGATAGTAATACGTATTACATAGTAAGAAAATTAACTTACGTATAATTGTCTTTAACGAATGAAATATATGAGCAATAGGAAGTCATTGAAAAAAATGAGCTGACAAATATATACGTCACGAATCAAGTTTATTCGTCGTATTTTTGGTTGTTCAAACTTTAATTAAACTTTACTTTTACCCAAAAAATATAATCTTATTCTTATTCAGGATATCCTCTTATATATGGCTTTCAAGAGGATTCTTCTCAGAACAAAAAAATTCTAAATGCAATATTCTTGAAATTAAAGAAATTTCGTCTTTTTTAATTACAGTGTGAATCTTGTTCTTATAATATAAATTTCTTTTAGTAAGAATTTCGCTTTAAGTAAACATATTTCTCTAGGTTTAAAATGAAAAGAAGTCTGAATAATATCTCGTAGATCTCCGATTAACAATAGTTTAATAGAAGAGAAATAATTTTTCGGTAAGAATTTAGATCACGGGATCATAGAAAACAGCATTTTGCAATTAGTTCTTTTCTTGAACGTTAGAATATTTTCTTTCTGATTTTAAAGGAATCTTCTTGAGAGGTCATATATAAAAGGATATTCGCTAAAAATAAGATTATAGGATGCTTAAAAAAAAAGTTAATATTTTCTTATATGAAAGTAACTTTTTTTCTATATAAGTGTTAATATTTTTTAACCATCTTGTATTTGTTTGGGTGTAAAAATGGTTAATGGAAATCAACATGGCAGTCAACTTGTTAAAATATTTATAGATGTAAGTAACAATTTAGCCTTCTGAGGACCAGCTATTTTTTTATCGACTTTTATTTTAAGAGCTAGAACTTTTTTGTGATTGTTATTGGATTGAATGGGAAAAAAGTTGACACCGCCGTCGCGCCGATATATCGGCTTCCGGTCCTCCAAAGGTTAAAGTTATAATATTATATCATATATCGAAAGATTAAAATGTTTCGTTTATGTGATTGCGAGAAAGTATATACATATAAGAAAAAATGCGATATAAGACCATATCCAATATATTCAAACATTGAAATCTCGTTTACAATGTATATCAGATTATAACATGAATAGCAATATTTAAAATTATGATCTTATATTCAAAGTTCGAAATATCTCGTTTACAACAGCGAGAAGTTAAATATCTGAAAAAAAATACTTGCTAAATGAGAAAATCAAATAAGAATTAATCTCGTGTACGCGTATTTCTCGACTGTTGTCCGCTGTATTTATCGCGTTTTCCGAGAGAAAAAATGGTCGGTTTTAATGCCACCGAGAGAAGCACGGTTGACGGTTTGTCTCAGCACCCTACCGACCATTACCGCCGTAATTGGTAATGCCATCGCCACCGGGCCGGCGATTTTTCGCGCGTCTATCGCAACTGCGACCGCTTATACGGCTTATAGCGCGAATCAAGAGTTCGTAGGTGAACGCGCACTTTGCGCGGTAATTGTGCTCCGTAGGTGTCGCGGGTTGTTGCTCACGTAGCCGGCTTGCACGTAGACTGGCTCTCGAGGAGAGTCGTTACAGTCCGGCGCGCTTAACGTAAAACGTGGGTCGTGCGCTTTAAACATCACATCACCGCCGTCGCCTCGCTATTCTAACGCGCCGCGGCCGCGCGCCCGCTCGCTCTCTTTATCCGACCATTCATCTTTCCGCGCGCGCTCTATAGATCACGCCCGGTGGATGCAAATGGAGCGACTCCCTTTTATGAGGGCTTCTGGCTCGCTGCGTGAAAGGATCACTGATTTCCATCGCGCGCCGCGCCGCAC